AAAAATCAATAAAAACATATTTAAAAAAATAAGTGGGACAACAAATTGATGTTTCTCTTTCTCCCTCTCTCTAAAGTCAATAATTTAAAAACAAGGATGAACACACAGCATGTCCTCAATATATAATAGCTAAAAAATATATCCAAAAAACCACCAACAAACATTTTAGGGACAAGGTAGCTGTAAGAAAATGAAGAGCCTCAAAGGAACAAGGGGCAGGACACCCAGGGAAAGGGCTTCAAGAATCATAGAAGAGCCCTGGCTGGATTGGCTCAGTGGTTAGAGCATCAGCCTGCAGTCTGGAGAGACCTGGGTTCGGTTGCCGCTAAGGGCATGTACCTTGGTTGCAGTTTGACCCTGGCACTGGTTGGGTCGTGCAAGTGGCAACCACTCGATGTGTCCCTTTCACGTCGATGTTTTTTTCTCTCTCTCTCTCTCTCTCCCTCCCTCCCACTCTATCTGAACAAAATATGAAAAAATGTCCTCGGGTGAGGATAAAAAAAAAAAAAGAATCATAGAAGAGAATTTCCAGATGTCAGAAAAAGTAAAAAAAATGCCATGGAGCAGATAAAGCAAGAAGACTGGAATGGGCAGTGAGTCAGGGGCGTTCATCGATGCATCGAAGGAGAGGAGGCCACTGGCTGGAGCGTCTGGGTTGAGGAGAAACAGAGGTAGGGGGTGGAAAGAATAAGTGAAGAAATTCTAAGAAGTTTGGATCTGTAGGAAAAGAGAAAGATGGAGCAGGAGCTGAAGGTGATGTAGGATCGATGAAAAGCCTTAAAATTTTTATTTGGGGGGAATGACTGAAATATGTTTTGTAGGCTGAGAATTGAAAGAGCCAGAGAAGAGCCCTGGCTGGTTGCTCAGTGGTTAGAGCATCAGCCCACAAACCAGAGATGCCTGGGTGTGGTTCCCGCTAAGGGCACATACCTTGGTTGCAGTTTGTCCCCACCCTGGTTGGGGTTGTGTGGGTGGCAACCAGTTGATGTTTCTCTCTCTCTCTCCTGCTCTATCTGAAGATAAATGCAAAAATGTCCTCAGGTGAGGATAAAAAAAAAAAAAAGCCAGAGAAGAGAGAGGGCTTTCCTGATTATTCTGAATTGTGTATAATCTCTTTTTCTTTTAAATTACCGTATGACAGGCATTTATAATTACTTGTCATATCCCTCTAGAGACAAAGCTCAGTAGAGGCAGTCCTGTGCTTCGCATGACATCTTTATTGATACATATAATAGGCCTATAAGTGTGGCCTGAATGTGGCTATATCCCCTTTGGTAGACTTGGCTTCCTCTAACCACCCCCCATGCCCAACTAGCCAGACTCAGTGCTTCACCACATGCCCCATCACTGGAGACCAGTACTCTAAACATTGGCAAGTAACACAGATGGGGAGATGGATGAGAGGGTTTACTGCACACCACAGAGTAAACCTTAACCAAAATTCTCTAAATAGAAATCTATGCTCCAAAGGGTCTCTAAGTTCTCCCAAGTCTTTTCCAAGGCATGCCGCCTGGGATTCTCCTGTCCTCTCCTCCCCACAGACTCTGAAGTTCCTACTGATTGCCCAGAGCAAATGAACGCTTCCGCTCAGCCTGAACAGATTAGACTGAGACCACCCTTGCTCCTCAGCATGCTGCTTGGAGACCTCAGTTTACCTTACAGCCACCCGTGTACACATGTATGTCTCATATCCATTAAATGCCTCTCCAGTATTTCTCCAACTGTGGTCCACACACCCCCTGCATCAGTCACCTGGGCGCTTTAACAGGCAGATTTCTGGGCCCCACAACTACTAACTCAGATCTCTGGGGGTGGGATAGGTACCCATAAATGTCTGAGAACCAGTGACTGTACACTGTGCCAGGGCTGGTCTGCATGAGTCTCCTTGCGATGATATTCAGTGGCCTTTAATGTATCCACAAAAACCCAAGATCTCCAGGTATTTGGATGTACACCCACCCTACAAAAACTGACCTTGACCTACCAAGGGCCCTAGTCCTGTGATTCCCAGGTCCCCTCCTTTCGCTTGTGTTCACCCTTAGCCACTATCACTCCCCTTCTCCTTCACCATTCAGCATCCAGCCATCTTCCTGGCCAGCTCCAATCCCACCTGCACAGCTTGGAACCCCTGGATCAGCATTGTAACTTAATTGTTTCATGCTAAAATGATAAATATTTCCTGAGCATATATATCGTTACCCAAAGAGATGGTAAGCTTCTATGAATGACTAGGCTATAATTCTTTTTTTCCCTCAGAGCAGCTAGCAAAGAAGGGTGTCCCCGACAGTTCTAGCTGGATGAGCAACTGGAGGGCAGTGAAGGCTCCAAGCAGGTGGAAAAGCATTCTGGGAAGTCCTTTCTCTACTGGAATGTGTCCAGGCCCCTGACAGTTCTCCCTGATGAAATTCTGGGGAGCAAACATGGTTCAGGAAAAGGAAAGGAGATGGGTTCATTCTAAGAACAGATGGTATTTTCAGAAAGTTAAAGGAAACCTTCACTAATTTTTACCTCGTTGTTTTATCCAATCTTTGGTAATTAAAAATTAACTTTTAAAGCCCTGGCCGGTTTGGCTCAGCGGTTAGAGCACCCGCCTGCGGTCCGGAGAGACCCGGGTTCGGTTCCCGCTAAGGGCATGTACCTTGGTTGCAGTTTGTCCCCGGCCCTGGTCGGTCATGCGGGTGGCAGCCACTCGATGTGTCCCTTTCACATCGATGTTTCTCACTCTCTCTCTTCCTCTCTCTCCCTCCCACTCTGTCTGTACAAAAAAAAAAGGAAAAATGTGCTCGGGTGAGGATAAAAAAAAAAAAATTAACTTTTAAAGACCACAGATCTGCCCTGGCCAGTTTGGCTCAGCGGTTAGAGCATCGGCCTGCGGTCCAGAGAGACCCAGGTTCAGTTCCTGCAAAGGGCGCGTAACTTGGTTGCAGTTTGTCCCCGGCCTTGGTTGGTTGTGCGGGTGGCAGCCGCTCAATGTGTCCTTTTCATGACGATGTTTCTCTCTCTCTCTCTTCCTCTCTTTCCTTCCCACTCTACCTGAACAAAAAATGGAAAAATGTCCTCGGGTGAGGATAAAATAAAATAAAATAAAGACCGCAGATCTACTGTGAGGAACAGGACCATCACTGAAAGATGGGGATAATATACTAAAAATGTATGGCTCATCACCCACCCCCCTGCCCAGATGCAAACAGCCTCTTCGGCAAAAGAGAGAGAGCAGGGACTGGGAGCAGGGGCTATGCCAAAGAGGGCCCATTTCTCAGTGTACTCTCCTCTCCTCTGGCCTCAGACCTTACTACTCTGGGAACTGGAAAACTTTTAGTTGTTGTTATTTTATATTTACTGATTGTTTTTCTTTCTTTCTTTCTTTTCTTTTTTTATCCTCACCTGAGGACATTTTTCCATTTTTTTGTTCAGATAGAGCGGGAGGGAGAGAGAGGAAGAGAGAGAGAGAGAGAAACATCGATGTGAAGGGACACATCGAGTGGCTGCCACCCGCACGACCAACCAGGGCCGGGGACAAACTGCAACCGAGGTACATGCCCTTAGCGGGAACCGAACCCGGGTCTCTCTGTACCGCAGGCCGATGCTCCAACCGCTGAGCCAAACCGGCCAGGGCTCTTTCTTTCTTTTTTAAGAGAGAGAGAGGAAGAGAGAAAGCGAACAAGAGAAACATCAATTTGTTGTTCCACTTATTCATGTATTTATTGGTTGATTCTTACATGTGTCCTGATCAGGGATTGAACCCACAACCTTGGAATATTGGGATGATGCTCTAACCAACTGAACTACCTGGCCAGGGCCTAACTTTTGGTATTTTTTTTTATCCTCACCCGAGGATATTTTTTCCATTTTTGGTACAGATAGAATGGGAGGGAGAGAGAGGAAGGGAGAGAGAGTGAGAAACATCGACGTGAAGGGACACATCGAGTGGCTGCCACCCGCACGACCAACCAGGGCCGGGGACAAACTGCAACCAAGGTACATGCCCTTAGCGGGAACCGAACCCGGGTCTCTCCAGACTGCAGGCCGACGCTCTAACCGCTGAGCCAAACCGGCCAGGGCTAACTTTTGGTATTTTATAAAGAACAGTGAAGGCTACTGGTAGCTCAGAGGTAAGTTCCTTAAAAACACACACACACACACACACACACACACACACACACACACCCTTTTAAATGTTCTCTCCTACACCAGACTGGAAAGCACTGCAGAAAAAAGCATCATTCTCTCCCACACTGGCTTTCTCTGACCATGGTTTTGTTATTTTTTTAAATTTATTTTTTTATCCTCACCTGAGGACATTTTTTCGTTTTTTGTTCAGATAGAGTGGGAGGGAGAGAGAGGAAGAGAGAGAGAAACATCGATGTGAAAGGGACACATCGAGTGGTTGCCACCCGCATGACCAACCAGGGCCAGGGACAAACTGCAACCAAGGTACATGCCCTTAGCAGGAACTGAACCCGGGTCTCTCCGGACCGCAGGCCAATGCTCTAACCACTGAGAAAACCGGCCAGGGTTCTGACTGTGGTTTTTAAGGCCTCTCAGCAACCCACCCCATCTCAGGTGCTTTCCCAGTGTTCTCCAGTCAAATTCAGGGAGATCTTTTCTTCATTTTGTAACTTATTCTCTCACTTAGGAATATGAGTCTCTACTCTACCAACTTAGAACATGTACCCTTTCTGGAAACCTCTTAAACAAATGAACAGTATAAAGGAATAGAAAAAGTTAAAAACAACAACAAACCAACAAAGACAGAGTGTATGCATGTTGTGAAAGAGAACCACTAAATATCATGTCTAAAAGACAAGTGTTAAGGTCATAGGTCTTGTTCCGGTACGTTTCATATTCTTGGAAAGCTGGCACTGAAGCACTCAGGAACCGCCAGATCTATCAGCCGATCTCTGGAGTAAAACAGAGTTGTGACCCTACAGTTTGATAAATGTCTTTCTTCTCATCATGGAGCCAGGTTCGTGTTCCAGAAAAAGGAGAGATGAGAGCAGTGCCATGCTAAAGACTGTAGGAATATTTTAATTCATATGTTTCAATTCATTACATAATAATATCACAGTCTATTTTACAAGTTAAATGTACGAGAATGTATGAAATAGAAACGGTAGGAAAAGACTAAACATAGGTCAAGAACATGAATTTTTCCAAAGCCAGGGGCCAAAGGAAGATGTGTCCCCTGCAGGACCCAAGGAGGAGGCAGGGAGGGTGACAGGAACAGCATCAGCTCCTGCAGTGGCTCCTGGTGTGTGTTTGTCCCAGTTTACCCTGGGAAAGAGTCGAGGCACGCCCTCTGCCCTGGTCTGAGGTGGGGAGTTAGTCTGGTCAGTGGAAGATGGCTGCTTGAGGGAAAAAAGCCATCTGGTTACCTATACAGAGCTGGTCCCCTTGTGGCTGCAGGTGGGTTTTGTCGTAGAGAGCATTAGGGGCGGAAGTGTCAAAAATCAAATGTGTGGAGAAAAAAAGTAAACAGTTTCCTCCTTCCCCCCAAAACACAAATTCTTGAAATGCACATACATTCTTCTCTTAAACGTAGAAAAGTCTCACTCTGGATGTGCTTACGAGAAGATCGTCGTCAAAAAACTTTGTCTCTATGATAACATTCCCACTGTGAGTAAGAAGAGACAGCAAGAGAGTAATGTGTTAGGCAACAGATTTCTTTCCCACAAAATGGTTTCAATCTGGGTCTGCTTGGTCCATAAACATACATCCACCTAGAACCTTGGCTTGAGGACACTAAAATCTGTGTTTATATGGGGTTATAAGTCTAATATGACACTGAACTTATGTGACTAGGTTTGTCTTCCTCAAGTTCAGAAGTCAGAAGAGAGAACATGTCCTTAAGATCCTTAGTAGAGTGCTCTGCCCAGGGGAGCTTATAAATATGACTGACTTCTTGACACACATGGAAACCTGCAGACTGCAAGGGTGATATCTGTCCCTACAACACTGTTGTGGGTTGGCCTATCCTTCATCTGTTCTCCTCACTTTGGGTGATAGCACTCTGCTCTTCTTTTGGGGAATCACCCATCTCCAGTCCATTGAATGGCCCCTTCCTCACCTGACAAAGGGGTGGACACAGGATGTAATTTAGGCAAATCAGACTGTCTCCCCTGAGCAGGATCCTTCCCTATGGTTGCTCTTTGAGGAAACCATCCACAGATTCCTGCCATCTGCATCTTTTAAGCTGCCCAGAGCTTAGCCCTTTCAACTCTGTCATGTTAGCCAGGGTCAGTTTCTATGGTTTGCAATCAAAGAACCCCAAACAATATACCTGATTGGGTGGTCAGAGTAGAATTTCATTTTTCTTGGTGGATATCTCAGTGTTTTGAAACCAAACCACTTTTGAACTGAGTTAAGGGCAACAGAGGTACTGTTTTGGGGTTCTAAAATGTAATATATGACTTTAATAACCTAAATATATTTTCATAGATTTACTGGTTTTAGTACCTAAAAGAAATCAGGCCTGGCCAAGAAGTCAAATTAAGGTAAATAAAATCTAAAAAAATGCCCTTCTAGCCCTGGCCAGATTGGCTCAGCTGTTAAAGCCTGAGAACCAAATAGTCTCGGGTTTGATTCCCAGTCGAGGGCACGTACCTGGGCTGCAGGTTCAATCCCTGGCCCCTGTTGGGGTCCTGTGGGAGGCAAGCTATTGATGTATCTCTCTCACATAGATGTTTCTCTCTCTCTCTCTCTCTCTCTTTCTTCCTCTCTCCCTCCCTCCCTTCCACTCTATCTAAAAATCAATGGAAAAATATCCTCAGGTGAGGATTAAAAATAAATAAATAAATAAAAAATACCCTACTATATACTATGCTGTACTTTCCCAGGGTAATCAATAGCCAGCAGATAGAATATAAAAACACCTGCTGTTATAATTAAAAATCTATGAAAAACTTATAATCACTATTTACAAATTCAACATGGCTTTCATAAAGGACCTGTTTAGAGAGATGATCTAACATCACACAGTTATCTGTGTGAATAACTCATCACTAGGCGCTATTACTAAAAAATCTAAAAGACTATTATCTTTTCCAGAGAGAAAATGGTGGGTGGGCAGTTATTGATGGTGTTTTTAGACAAAGGACAAACTAATATTCTTTGAGCGGGAAGCACAGCTATTAAAATGGTAAGCTAGTCTCTGAAAAACTACAACCAAACATTATCCTCTAAAATAGAATTAGTACATTGCCAGATTCTGCTAAAGGCCATCAAACAAAGTACAGAGTACTTGAAGTTTGGTAGTTAGGAAAGAGAGAAAATGAGCATGGGTTAAATATAACATATAGTATGCCAGTTTCCTTCCATGTCATCTCACTTTATTCTCACTACACCTCTGTGAGACAGAATTATTAATTCTATGTTTAGAGAGAAGAATAAGGCCCAGAGAGGTAATGTAGATTGTCTGAGATTACATAGCTAGTCAGGTTTAATCAGGAATTTGTCTAAAGGTCTAATCTAAAGTTTTCTATCCTTTCAATTCTATCACACTGTCTTTTTCATATGACAAAAGTCAGTAACCTGTAAACTCAGATACCCCTGGATACTCTTTTACCCTCATTTTCAATGTAGGTTGCCTGCTCGCTGAAGGAGACCATGAGTCCCACCTGCTCGAATGCCTGCTTCTAGCACACTCCACAATTCCTGCAACCTGCTCACTCACGTTAGCACACTGGCAGGCATCATCTGGGACTCAGGCGCTGCCTCTATCAGGGATTGCCAGGTATTTGTGGAGTTAGGGATCACAAAGCCAAACTCGAAGAACCATTCTGAAGGAAGAAAGAAAAGCAGGTTAGTGGGCATCCCAGGTAGTTTCAGGGCTCCCTGTCCCCCTCCTTTAGAGAAAGCCTCTTTTTACCCAGAGAAACACCAATGAAGCCATCAGAAATCTCCCAGGGCATAGGTGTAAACACCAATGAAGCCATCAGAAATCTCCCAGGGCATAGGTGTAAAAAAGGACCCCTTTAGGCTGTTCTCTATGCTCTGGGGTCTAAAGGACTAGGACCAGTGGGCGAGTATAGTGTAAGCAAAGTTTTCTTAGAAGTAGGCTGTATGTAAATTATACAGAAATACAGAATAGGCCTTTTCACTTGGAATGTTAGCTGTAAGACACATATGTGCACTCTTACACTTCATGGTGAAAGCTCAATGTGGAGTGGCCTTGCTGGTCAAATCTGTATGAGACTCTATGGAGAGTACTGTACCAGGCTCTAATCAGCAGCTTCCTTGTGACCATGTTACGATACCATATCAATGACAAAGCAGGCACCAACACCTGGCCCACAGTGTCAGAAACCCTTGCAGTGCCAGCTTTGCTTCTGTTTGTTCTTATTAGGGGTCCCCAATCCTGCAGGGTGTTGGAATCCTGTCACAAACTGAATTGCACAATGAATGTTATTGCCCAGCCAGTGTGGCTCAGTGGTTGAGCGTTGACCCATGCACCAAGAGGTCACGGGTTCAATTCCCAGTCAGGGCACATGCCCAGATTGTGGGCTAAATCCCCAGTGGGGGCATGCAGGAGGTGGCCGATCGATGTTCTCTCTCATCAATGTTTCTATCTCTCTCTCCCTCTCCCTTCCTCTTTCTCTACAATCAATAAAGGAAAAAAAAAAGAATGTTACCAAAGCAGTGCTTTATAGTTCACTGGTTTTTGCCTTTTGTCCCTGTCACCCTAAGCCTGGATTTCAGGCATGGAGCAGCAGAATACCTTCTAGGCATTGTCCTTTGAAGTAAACTTTTTGTTCCAGGCGGAATTTTTCCATTTGCTCTGCTGAAGAGAAGTTCAATTCTCGAGATACTGCCTTGCATTTGAGAATTTTCTTGGGAACACGGGCTAGTAAAGAAAAAGAAATATTGAAGCCATTCTAAATTAAAACCACATCATTATGATGCTTCAAGTTTCTGGAAGCTGATTTAGAGAACCCATTGGTAATAGAATTACACTTTTTAATTAAAGAGGTCCCCAATTGGTCAAGTGTATTTGACTGAAAGATCATCAAGGCACATCAGATTTAGTGTATTTAAGGGCCTTACCTAGCTACTCTCATCAGGAAAGGGGCTGAATGGGCACCTACTCTGTTCTGTTGGTTTGAACGCCTTAGTTTTTCTTTTATTTCAGAAAGATAAAAATGCAGATTTTATTTTGGAAAAAAAAAGCTGAGATCTTAGTTTATATCTTTGGGTATGTTCTAATGCTAACATTTTAACACAAAGTGGGTTTTGGGAAGTGGGAGACAAAAACTTAAGAAGAAACTAGAAATCTCAATAACACATGGATTAACATGCTGTGCTTCCAGGGCTCACTCTTCTGTTAGGTCTGCATTGACTTAACTCCCTGATGCTTAGGCCCTGTGCACCAGTCATCACAGACCTGTACAGACAAAGGTTTAGAAAGTACCTTCATGCTCCACTCCAGGGACTGACAGGTCTTCTGTTCCTTGCCAGAGTATCTTCCCTGTTTCAGCATCCCGCAGGTTCATCCAATTTCTGATCAAATATATTGAGGAAAAATAAGGCACTGAAAGTGACTCCTTCTTTGTACTTGGCCTAACTGCTGAGTGCTATGCAAGCAAATAAGATTATATAGGAGAGTCCATAAGACATGTAAAGGAAGAAGCATAAAACCCGGAGGAGATATTTTCATCTACAACACAAGAACCCAAAGACTGTACACACCCAAAGAAAGAGGTAAAAAATGAACAGTGCAAATTAAAAATTTTCCAATCGAATCTTACCAGCCAAGATAAAAGATCTAAAGCAACAGATATGAGAAGTATCCCGGGAAACGGGATATCACCATACAGTGGAGATCTCAGTCCATAGGTTCTACTCACAAGTCCAGAGCTCTCAGGTAGCTTTTTAGTGGCCTGCTCTTTAATATGAGAAGTGAGCCAAGGATCACCAGAAACTCAAGAAAGCATTGACTATGAAGACAGACCAAAACAAAGAGAAAAAAGCAACTTAGAGGAAAAAGAGACTACAAAGGAAGATATAAATTTTTTAAATGGAGCATTAAAAACAAATAAACAGCCCTGGCCAGTTTGGCTCAGCAGTTAGAGCATCAGCCCATGGACCAAAGGATCTCAGGTTCAATTCTGGTCAAGGGCACATACCTGAGTCGCAGATTCAATCCCTGGCCCTGGTCGAGGTTGTGCAGGAGGCAACCAATCGATGTGTCTCTCTCACAGCGATGTGTTTTTTTCTCTTTCTCCCTATCTCCCTCCCTCCCTCTCTTTCACTCTATCTAAAAAAGTCAACGGAAAAATATCCTTGGGTAAGGATTAACAACAACAACAAAGATGAAATTCATAGAATGTGCTTCTATGGAAAGTAGAATTATACAATTAGGGGAAACGTGGGGGTTAAATTAGTGAGAAATACAGAAAATCTAAGCAAATAAGTAAAAATCAAGACATCAGGGTAAAAAGTCAAAGGCAGTACTGGAAGTAAGCAGTGGTCACGGTAACCTACGTGGCTTCACTGCAAAGGGTGTTGACATAGTCATAATAATAAAAGCAGACTACAGATCCAATACAGAGATCCTGGGAGGCTAGAGGAAAAAGAGTAAGTGTGGTCAGGTGTAAACTGTTGAGAAAGAACATAGTGGGAAGTCAATAACGCCTAGAGCAAGAATATTAAGATATAGCCACAATGTGCTATTTAAAAACATCAAGATAAATACCAAATAAATCAGCTAGAAAGAGTTGAAAATAGTTTTCTCTGGGGAGTAGAAAATAGGAGTGGGAGGACATGGAATGCTGCTCTTCATCAGAAACCGGGGAGAACCATGACTCACAATAATGTACACATCAAACTTTGATAAAAATAAAGATTAAATTTAAAAAAGATAGACCCAAGTTTTTTTTTTGTTGTTGTTTGCTTATTTTAAACACAATGGAGAAATCATTAAAAGAAAAGAAAATTAATATTATCCATGCACGGAGGCTAAGTATGAGAAAGATGGTTAATATTTGTAAAGAGACTTAGCTTCAGATAAGTACAGTTGATATAGCTCATGTTTTTTTTTTTTTTTCCTGTCTGGCAACCAAATCCTCTTCCCAACAGCATGTTGCAGCTTCCTTTCCCCAGTTGGGAGGCAATGACTGCTTTGCACTATGGCAACTAGAATATCCAGAATCATCTTTCCTGGCCCTGGTGTAGCTGGAGGCAAGCCCATGACCTAGGCTTGGACACCTGGGTACCTAGTTCTGGGGCTCTGAAACTGTAGTCACATAGGCCTTGAGGAAAAGCCAGCAGTTCAGGGTGCGGCAGCAGGTGGTGCCAACTTGACCTTTCCTGCAGTGTGGCCATTGTTGCAGGCCCTGGTTCTCCACTGCCAGTCAGTTTTCAAAGCCCCAGAGAGCCTTTGAACCTTTCCCATTGTTTGGGTAGCTTACAGTGGAGCCCTGAACAACACAGTTCTTTAGAATCATTATGCATGTAATAGTACTACATTTAACCCTCTGGAGAGATTCTTTCTGTATTCTGCTGCTATATAAGAAAAGTCACAAAAGATAACCAAAGGTTATCCAGCAGAGTGCCTTGAATGTGATGGGTACACTGGCTTCCTGTGCCCTCAACCTGCTTGTGCACTGTTCCCCCACTTAAGCTTCCCACTGCTTTGAAGTTGTGTTGGCTGTGCTACTCTCTGCCTGTGTGTACAATCCTAAAAAACTCTCTTCTGTGCGTATTATATTGCTGGTACTACTGCTCTTCTACACCTAGGTGGTTTTCTCTCCTCTGCTTCATATTTCTAAGCTCCACTTTTCTAAAACAACTAAATTCAAAAGCAAGTCAAAAGTACACATATTTGCTTAGCTCATGTCTTACAATCAAATTACTACAAATATGCTTACCCATTTTGGGGTCTCCATGTTAAGAGAAAGCTTCCCCAACTGGAGAAATAAGATAATAGATATTACTACTCTAGCAAGTCCACTCTGAGCTCAGATCTAAACACAACAGCCTTAGATATTTAAGCCCAAGGTTTTCAGAAGACACAATACTCACTTGACCTCCTCTGTATATGCTTTTCATTCTTTCTCTACAGACAGTCTCTTATATACCAACACAGCCACAATGGCACCAGCCTTTCTTTCTTTTTCTTTTTTATTAACCCTCACCTGAGGATATTTTTTCATTGATTTTTCTTTTACATAGAGTGGGAAGGAAGGAAGGAGGGAGAGGAAGGGAGTGAGGGAGTGAGAGGGAGAGAGGAGAGAGGGGAGAGAGAGAGAGAAACACTGATGTGAGAGAGACACATCAATTGGTCAATTGGTTACCTACCACATGACCCTGACCAAGCCGGGGATCGAACCCACAACTGAGGTACATGCCCTTGACCAGGAATTGAACCTGAGATTCTTTGGTCTGTGGGCTGATGCTCTTCCACTGAGCAAAGCTAGCCAGGGCAACATCAGACTTTCTTAAATGACAAAATTAAAATTACTTCTAAAATTCCAGACTCACACCAAGTGGGGCATTCCAGCAAAACTACTACAATTAAAGCCTTGGAGAAGGGGCTCCCCTGACAAAACAACAGCTGGATCAGACCTAGCAGCTTTCAGAAAAACATTACTGCCACTGGCCCAGGTTAGCAAAGAAAAGCCTCAATAAATAATTCAAAATTAAAGAAATAAAAACAGAGCTCCATCCAACGGTGATGGGACAGAGACTACTTAGAGCCCCTCCAAGTTCTATAATTTTAGGGGTGAAAAGGAAGGCTCTTAGTTCATGGTGGAGATGTAGCCATTTGGGAACAGCTTTATAAATCACAAAAATACAAATCCATGATAGCCTATTAGTAAAAAGAAATAAAAATTATTGAGGTAGGTGTCTTAAAATAATAGTAAGAAAAGCTGGTCCTCTAAAGAGGAAGCATATTTGGCTCAAAATGTTGGAAATGAAAAGTAAGCTTTGATGGTTGGTCATCATCTGGTTAAAAACATTTTTGTTTTAATAGCCTTTTGCCAATGAGATTTTTCAGAGAAAAAAAGCCCGAGTTTTAAGACTCAAAGGTCAAGTCACTTCCAATCTTGAGAGAGGAGAGGATTAGGTGGACAAGCTTTAAGAAGAGGGCTGGAGGACTATTTATAAATATTACCTTCTGGGTCAGTCAGGTCTTACATGACCAGACTACCTGGCGTCCATCACCCAGAATGCCTGACCAACAGATAAGCATCTAGGACGAACTAAGAATGCAGAACTGATTAGTTTCAAGGATGTGACTTTACTATAAGAACTTGTAACTTTCCTTTCTTCTTCAGAACACTTCTGGGTTTTTGCTTAATTGTATTTCCAAACTCTAAGACCTTTGAATAAATCTTTGTTTATTTCTTTAAAAAAAAAAAAGCTCCCTTGTGATTTATGCACAGTACAAGCACAAAGGCACACTCCTTGACTGTGGGATGCCTCAGATCAGAGGAGAGCTGTCCTTGGTGGCCTCTTATTTGCAACCAAGCAGACAAAAGAAGCACTCTCATATGTAAAAATAAGAACATTTTATAAATACACTTCAGAGCTGAAACAATAAACTCCAGAGCAAAATCAATAGTTTGTAAACTGTCAAGCCTTAGGATAGATTTTAAAAAAGAAAGCAGATGAAGATAAACATTATGGAAGAATAAGAGGCACTTGGCTCACCACGGAAGGTTACATAAGTCCTCTTATGTTTTAAACAATAGATGTGATCTGGTTCAGTCCAGGGCAGGAGCTGGGGACAGACCTGCAGCAGAGAAGGCATTCATGGAGGAGGTGGTGGTGGTGAAGTGGAAAGAGAAGATTTGGGGTATGGAAGAAACCAGTTAGATGAATGGGGTACTAGGTAAATTTCTTCTAGAGATGTGAATGCAGGAATTGGAATACGGATTTAAAATATTTTGTGCCACCTAGAAGCATTTTGGAATGAGCACACTGGCTCTTGGAGTCTTAATTAGTTTTAGATGGAAATGGTCAACATCAATTCTTTTGTGAGGATATTCCTTCCACTGATTTTTTTAGGGAGAGAGGGGGAGAGAAAGAGAGACATCGATGTGAGAGAGGTACACTGATTGCCTCCCACATGTGCCTGACAGGGCTGGGGATTGAACCTGCAACCCAGGTATGAACCCCTGACCGGGAATCGAACCTGAGACCTTTCAGTGCACAGGCCGATGCTCCAACCACAGATCCTTATTGTCCAGGGCAACATCACTTTTTTTTTTTTTAATCCTCATCTGAGGACACTTTTCCATTGATTTTCAGACAGAGTGGGAGGGGAGAGAGGGAGAGAAACATTGATGTGATAGACACATCGATTGATTGCCCCCCCATGACTCCAACCAGGGCCGGAGATGGAACTGCAACTGAGGCCCGTGCTCTTGACTGGAATTGAACCCAAGACCCTTTGGTCCATGGGCAACGCTCTAACTGCTGAGCCAAACCAGCCAGGGCAACATCAATTTTTATATATTAAACAGAACAGATCCACTTTGCATGCCTGTTACCTC